TCTATGAAAGGGGTCCGCTTTTCAACATTGTTTCTCTAGTGAGGGTGTTGAGCATCAGAAATATATGACGCAGAACTCCGTCTTTGTATCTTTTTACTTCATTCCTTCCCTATGGTACACATTTCAAAGTTGGTTGTTATCCATGTGCGCGTTGCGGCCCATATGGGAACTACAGAATAATGAACCTTACACCAGCATATACTGGCATTCAGTCAACTTGTAACTTTGGAAAGGATGTTTTTTGAAAACTAATATTAGGATTCGGCACGTTCAATTATGCTCTTTAAAGTTTAGGTGGGTCTTATTTGTTCGCTGTGTCGTCCCGTGGGATGGCAGATTGCTGGGATAGTACCGACTCCCGAAAGTGGCGACACCATTTCGATCGAGCAAGGTTTGTCCATTTGATAGATTTCGAAGATTCTGCGCTTTTAATGCAGAGCTGCGAGAATGCCTACCTATGTTTTGAGTTATTAGTTGTGATATTCATCATGCAAAGAAACTTTACAGATGCGTTACAAGTGAATAACGCGATCAGCGCAGAGCACAGGAAAGTCGTGAATGACTTATTTACGAATTACCACACAGGGATGTTACGACATCTGGAAAAGGCTTGTGCTACTATGAATGTCATACAGAAAAGAGTGAAACGACAAGAGCGAACAAGGGGTAAGTTCTAACCTCTGAGTAATCAAGACAATCTTCTTTCACTCATGCGTATCTATGTAGGCGATGCTACTTCTGAGGATAAAAGTGAGCTGGAAACAGTGAAAGCGGAGTTTGAGCGGTTAAAAGCGCTAGCCACGGAGCTGAGTAATTCTCTTGGAGTACCGATGGTGAATCTCAGAGAAGAACCCAGTGATAACGAAGAGGACGAAGCTGCCGCTTTGGAGGTGAGAGACTTCGATTTCCGTGGTCGCAGTCTCTAAAAGACTACTTCAGATGGACAAAGCCCTGGCCGAGGGTCATGTTTCATTGTGGCCAGATGATGAGACAAGGATGTTCTATGAGAATCTGATTGATATCCGGAACATCGTTCCACGGAGTTTGTACAAAGTAAGTCTCTATGCTTACACTTTCTGGGTATAATTCGAATGGTAGTGTTGAAGGAATCAGAGGAAAGAACAATCCAAGAGAGTGATTTGAAGACGTCCGTAGATGAAATAGACGTTGATGGACTTGAAGGAGATGGGTTGGAACGGGAAGCTACCGAAGCTGCAGATGCGGAAGCAGCGAGGTATGCTTGGCTCGTACACTTACCCAAAACCAGCTTTACTTATCCAATTTTTTCGGTCTTTGTTTCTTTCATGTAGTTTGTAACACTAAATGACAGGAGTCTGATCGCATTTTCCTTTTTCGTGATTGCAATACTGTTTTAAAGGCAGTGTCCCCCCAAAAATTCGCATTCCGGTTT